CCCAGCACTTGGGAGACAGACAGATCTCAGTGAGTTCGAGGCCAGCCTGGTCTACAAAGCCAGTTCCAGGACAGCCAGGACTGTTACACAGAGAAACCCTGTCTTGAAAAACCAAACAAACAAACAAAAAAGTGGCTGTGTCCACCTGTAACCCCAGCAGTTGGGAGTGGAGGCAGGAGGATTGCTGAGGCTTGTGGGCCACCAGGTTCAGTGAGAGACTGTCTCAACGCAACAAAGCAGAATGATAGAGTAGACCATAGGATGTCCTTCTTTGGCATCTACACACACACACACACACACACACACACACACAGAATTCTCCAGAATTTTTATTTACAGTAAGAGAGTAAATTAAAAATCTATGGTTTATTAGAACAGGTTTTAATCATCATTCATGTTTTCAATAATTCCTGGAATACTCTTTTTAATATACATCAAATGTTCAATGAGTGTCGCTTTTCATATGTACAGTTTCTATTTCTGGGAGTAGAAAGCAGAAATGGCAAAATTCTGCCTGTTACCAAGTTTTGATAAACATGTGCTAGCACAACATGTTTAACCAAGCTCATATTAGTTGTGGTTAGTTGCTTTGTTAGATTAAAAACTTTGTTTCTATTAGGTTAAATTAAAGTCATCATTTGAATCTTCACTTGGGCTTGTTCTCTTTGATTTGACTTATGACCTTCCAAGCCTTGCTAATCCTGGCCACCCACTTCGCTCAGCTCAGGATTAGTCCGAATTGAAAATACACCCGCTGCAGGTCTGTGTTTCTTGGCAGCAGACAAGCGTAACTGGCTCTCTGCTGCCCCCTAGAGGCCAGTTAAGGATGTAGTTACTTCTCCCAGCTCTGGAGTGTGGCTCTAAACTTATTTAACTTTTAAGTAATTTGTGTGAGATATTATACTGTTTTACTTGCAAAAAAAAAAAAAAAAAAAAAAAAAAAAAAAAAAAGAGAAAACGTTAAAAAGTAATATCATCCTTATAGTTTTCATTTTCAGAAAGGTATTGTTTATCTATACTTCTGATTAAAAAAAACAAAACCACTCTCAGTATTTCAAATGGGATTTTAATACAAGGACTTAGGTGTTTATAAAACCTATAGAACAGAGAGATAACAGAGTGCCATTAACAGCCTTCAAACTGATAAGCATCACTTTATAATACCATTTGCTGGATAGCTTCCTTTCCCCTTGGTTTTTGATCTTTTCTTTATTGATAGCTTTAGACTCACTTCAAGTCTGTCTAGATATTTTATGACAACATATATATATATACATATATACATATATATGTGTACATATAGCTAGTCTGGTGTGGTGGTATAAGCCTTCGATCCCAGATTTGGGAGGCAAGCAATCTCCGTGAGTTTGAAGTCAGCCAGGTTTGCGTAGCTAGTTCTAGGTTAGACAGGACTACCTAATGAGACACTATCTCAAACTAACAAATGAAACAATCTATTGTGCTGCTCTTTGAATTAATTCTCTCTCTCTCTCTCTCTCTCTCTCTCTCTCTCTCTCTCTCTCTCTTTCTGTGCGTATGCATTGCGTGTGTGTGTGTGTGTGTGTGTGTGTGTGTGTGTGTGTGTGTGTGTTGCTGGGGGTGGAATCTAGGGCCTATGGCTAGGCAAGTGTTCTACCAATGTATAGCAAGTTTGTTTTATTTTTTCTATCTCTTCTTTGTGATTTTCTTAACTTTCTTTAAAAAAAAATTCTTTCAAACAAACTAAAATAATTTGGAGGGTTATTTAATCTTCAACAAAACTTCCCCGTTTGCACTTGTTTTGAAGCCTGGTTCAAGGTAAGACATTTTCTCATGAATTGTGGAGGATGTTTTATCATTTATAGCATTCAATTTCCCCATCCAAGAATGTTATCTTGGATTATTGATTCATTTCTGTCTTCTATATTTCAAAAGAGTTTTATAATTTTATTTATATACGTTGTAGATGTTTTATACCGGCAAGTTATTCCCAAGTGTAATGGTTTATTTCTTTAGAAAGTGTCATCCTAGCCGGGCGGTGGTGGCGCACGCCTTTAATCCCAGCACTTGGGAGGCAGAGCCAGGCGGATCTCTGTGAGTTCGAGGCCAGCCTGGTCTCCAAAGCGAGTTCCAGGAAAGGCGCAAAGCTACACAGAGAAACCCTGTCTCGAAAAACCAAAAAAAAAAAAGAAAGTGTCATCCTTTTCAGTCACATTTTTATGGCTTACTCCTGGTGTCTGTTGAAAACATTGGTACACTGAAATCACTTAACAGTTTGTTAAATGTGCCTTACATAGCATAAGGTGTACCCACCAAGAATGTATGACTTAAGGGTGGTGTGCAGCCAGCACCACAATCGAACTTTAGAAGACTTCACTACACCTTGAGTCCATTAGTTCCACTTTCCGCTGTCCCCTTGCCTTGTCAAGGGGAAGAGCATGTGTCTTCCCAAGGAGGCTCAGTGGGGATGAGCTCCTGGTTTGCTGAGGCATTTGCTTTGGGTTGTTTGTTTTTCTTCTTCTTCTTCTTCTTCTTCTTCTTCTTCTTCTTCTTCTTCTTCTTCTTCTTCTTCTTCTTCTTCTTCTTTCCTTCTTATCCCAAATTGTCTAACTAATCCCATCGTCTAAGCAGTGTTTCATACATGTAGGATGCTCTAAGCTCCCTGGCATGAGACGGGTCACCACCGCTCCACACTTGCGTCATTAATATCTTATCCAAAACTTGGTATCTAGCAATACCAAGCTATTTGCAGTCATTTGCCTTCCTCTGCACACCTCAAGTTAATCGCCACCTCCCTGGAATTTTCACACCTTAGTCCTCTTTTCTAGTTCTCATGTATTCAAGTCTACAGTTTTCTTACTGAACTTTTATGTTTGATCTATTATTAAAAGTGGAATATTGGGCTGGGAGTGCAGCTCAGTGGTAGAGTGTTTACTCAGCATGTGTAGAGACCTAGGTTCAACCCCAAGGGTTGATAAAAAAAAATTAATGGGTTATCAAATCCCCTTATAATTACAATATTGCTATTTCTTTCTTAAGTTGTTAATATCTACTTTATATACTTCAGTTTTCCAGTGCTGAGTGCTTCTTTGTTTACGGACTGTTACATCCTTTACGTAAATTGATTCTTTTATTACGATGCGGTGACCTTTGTCTCTTGCGGAAACAATTGAATCCACATTTGTTTTGTCTGATATTAGTGTGGCTGTCCTGTTCTCTTTGGGTTTCTAAGTACAGGGGAAATCTTGTATTATCTTAAGCTTTCAGCCCATGTGTGTCCTTCAGGCCACGTGAGTCTTCTACAGGCAGTGCATTGTTGGATCTTGTGTCTCTTGCGTTCATTCACTGTCCTACCCTTGGCTAGACACTTTCATTCATTTACACTTTACAGTGACTGCTGCAGGGTATGGACTTACTGCTGCCATTCTGTGGCTTGTCCTGCTCTGTGATTCTTCCACTCCCCCTTTCCTTTCTTAGTGTCCTGTGCTCCGTCACTTCCTTTGTAGTCCATGTTTGGTTTGGTTTTCTCTTTATCTTTGTCTACCTACTAGAGGACTGTTGAAACTTTCATCTGTGCTTAACAAGAAGCATATGTAAGATACCTCATAGTTAAAAGAGCCTGTTTCCGGGCATGGTGGCCATGCCAGCATCCCAGGACTCAAGAGGCTGAGGTAGGGAGATCTTAAGTTCTAGGCCAACCTATGCTACCTGGAAACTTCTGTTTCAAAAAGCTAAGGGACTGGGGAGCCTGGGGGGGAGGGGAGGGAGGGACAATTTTAAACTAATAGTAACTTAATTTCAATGACATACAACCCTGCACTCTTCAATATTTTCATTCATCCAATATTTTATACTGTTGATGTCACACTTTCTATCTTTTAAAATTGTTTCATCGCCTACTTACTGTAGCTATAGTTACTTTTCGTAGTTTTGTCTGAACACGACAGGCATGTACCAGGAACACAGATGAAGCTGTGTTCTGCTAGACACTGGAGATTCAGAGGTACCCCTGGATCATGGCTTTTGTGGGGCTGAAGCTGGGTTACTGTGCTTCCCTGGAATAGGAAACTGCACTGATGCCTGTAGGCTTACTTTAGGAGGCCTGTGTGAGCATGTCTCCTGATGGGTCTCTGGATGGGAAGGGCTGCTTCTGCACTGGGGCTGGGATGAGATGGAAATGGCTTGCAGGGCTACTCATGCAGTGAGATGTGAATCAGTAGAGCGTCCTCTGAAGGCATGAGGACACATACTTCCCTGAAGATCCCTGGGTAGGCTGCCACAGTTAGATGACAGCCAGGGTTGTTCCAGGGAATTTCAGGATTTGCTATGTGGCTAAAAACAATGATTCAAGGGCATAGACTAGTATGATTCCTACTCAGTTCCTGGGAAGTGAAACTGCTCTCAAATCACAGCTGAGATGGGCATTAGATGGATTTCAAGACCAGTTCAGGGTCTGCAACCCTCACAGGCCAGTGGTCCTGTTACCTACCAGAAACATGAGTGGGCATGCTTCCTCTTGGATTTCTTAGCAGCTGGTGTCGGTGGTGGGTCCAAAACCAAAAGTTCATAACTAAGTCCACAGTACAATGAGTCTATTTTATGACTCTGTTGTCAAACTGTTACTGTTGAACCTGCCACTTGGTACAGACCTCCCAAAAAAGTTCTCTTTGGGGTTACCCTTCTAGCTGGGTAAACACTTATCTTGACAAATGGCTAACAAATTCTTGTGACTGTGGGAGGGATGCCTGTGGGAAACCTAAATTCTGTGGGAAACCTCCTAATCAGTCATCTCCCTCTTCTTCACTCTTATTTGTATGGCAGATAAAATTAGAACAATGCACCACGCTTTGTGTTTTATCAGATAATGTGGTACTGCATTTCTTTATTGTGTATTTTCATTTAGAGTTATTTACAGAGAAATGTAGGAAAATTACAAAAATAAAACAGGTTTACAAGACAAAAAATCAAATTAAAATAAAGCAATTTCTGATCAGACTTGTAATGTTCTCTCTGCCTTCCAGAAATTCTTCGAAATAGAAGCAGAAAAAGCTGCACTACAGGATGCAACAAACATCAAAATGAATGTTTTAGCAAGAAAACTGAAGGAGAAAGAAGAAATTCTTAAGGGTTTGAGGGATGAACTAGAACAATATGAAGAGATTGGACTTAGCAAGAGTGTAAGTTTCATTCACTTTTATAATAAGTTAATTATAGTTAATATTAAATCATGTAAATAGGATTGTAGAGAGCAATAATCCTGGGTTAAAAATGAATAAGAACTGGGCTGAGGAGATGACCAAAGTGTAAGCATGAGGACGTGAGTTCAGGACCCAGGACCCACATAAAAGCTGGGCATGGTGGCATGTACCTATAACCATGGCATTGTGAGCAGGAGCTGAGACAAGGGAATCCCTAGGACTTACTGGCCAAACTGTCTAGACAAATCAGTGGCCCCTAGGCTCAGTGAGAGATTCTGTCCCAAAAATAAGGTAGAGAGTAAATGAGGAAGACCCCTGATGTTAGCCCCTGGCTTTGGTTTCCACAACAAGTGTGCACAGGCACACAAACCCACACACCCCCATAAAGATGTAAACACATGTACACACACATACCCACTCACAAAGAAAGAATGAAAGAGTTGATTGGGTGTGTCTTGGTAATCTCTCCACAATATGAACCAGTCCATCACTTTGCTATTCTGACACATTCTAGAAAATCCATAGTAATTATAAAGAAGAGCACTATAACTGTCCTCAAATTTTAATTTATAATGGAAATGAAATAACCCATTTGCCAGTGCCAAGAAAAATCCCATTCTAGAGAATAACACCATGAGTTTTTGTTGTAATTTCTAAGACTTCCATTCTCTTTGTAGTCAAGATACCTGAAAAAGAGACAAAGCCAATCTCCCCAAGTCAGAGGCTTCCAACAAGCCAACTGGGATTGAATAGAATTGAGGCAGGATAGAAAGATGGGAAATGATGGGGATGTGGGAAGGACAAGGAGCCTTTATCTCTGGCATTGCGCAGAAGCTTCTTGCTAGCTAAGAATCAAGAGTTCTAACACAAGTTAGCAATATTTGTTATAAAAGTTACCAAGAATATCTCTTTGATAGACACACTTTGGGGGCCTGGAGGGATAGCTCAGAAGTTGAGTGCTGGTTGCTCTTCCAGAGGACCTGTGTTCTGTGCCTAGGACCCATGTTGGGCTATTCACAACCAGTTTTTATTCCAGCATCAGGGGACCAGATGCCTCTGACTTCTTCTTCTTCTTCTTCTTCTTCTTCTTCTTCTTCTTCTTCTTCTTCTTCTTCTTCTTCTTCTTCTTCTTTTCTCTCTCTCTCTCTCTCTCTCTCTCTCTCTCTCTCTCTCTCTCTCTCTCTGCTCCTCTCCCTCCCTCCCCCTATCTCTTTAAAGAAAAGAGATTGTATTTTCAAGAAAGAATGTTAAAATATCAATAAGCCAGGCATCAGGCCTGTGAGTATCTGACCTTTGTGATCTTACTCTTCTCTGGGAATCTCACAAACAAGATATCCTAACTTCTGGAGTTTTAAGTTATCAGTTGTAATCCTGTTCAATACATTTCAAGAATCACCCTGTGGTCTCATTCACATTCCTTAGCAACCATTTGAAGATGAAGATAAAGAACCCATAAAGCCATATTTTCAACAACTACATGTGAATGAACTATGACACTTGGGTGTTTCTTACTCTTTCCCTGAATGCTTCCTTCTATTTAAAAAAAAAAAAAAAGCAAAAAAGCAAAAAAACCCATGCTTAAATGCAGGTTAACTTTTTTCTCTGAATGAACTCCAGCTCTGCTGCAAATTAGATCATTCTGGAAATCTTTCCTATGTCCTAGTCAAGGATATGGCTTTACATAGTGGAAGCTCTGAAGGATAAGGGAAGTCTCCAGGATGTGACCCACAGTGCTGTGCAACTGTGTCTTTGCCCCATCACAGCTGACAGAATGACTTTTAAATCAAGATGTTTAGAAGGAAAATCTCAGATTTTCAGGCAAGAAGAACCAGTCACCGCCTTCCTACTTAGGCCCAGACCAGTGGGAACACAAGTGGGAAGAATGGACAGCAGAGAGAAGAGCTTGAAGTTCTGTCTGGGAAGAATGTGCGAGAAAGACAGGTTCCTTCTCATCCCCCACGGACAGTCCAGAGCAGGACAGGATTTTATCATGACCCTCTAAGAGCAAGAGATGACTGAATTGGAGTTGCAGTACTGAGGATGAATAGGTGAAGCTAAAGGCGCACGCACGCACGCACGCACGCACGCACGCACGCACTGACCACCAATCCAGGTTGAGTCTCCCTTGTCCAAAAAATACCTACAACTGGAAAGGTTTCAGATTTCAGATTTTTATTTTGAATTTCAGAGTAGTTGCATTTCAGTCAGCCTGTGAAAAACATTTTACAAAAATTCTCTAGGAACAAACTTCCCGAAAAACTCCTGCTGTATAAGTTCTCAACTGGAGCTTTCTACATGAAGTTTCATCATAGACAGCTGCCCCCTCTAGTGGCTCAAAAATCCCCCTGAGATGTCACACAATGCTAACCTACAACTGGATTTGGAGCACAGAACGTAGGGAAGCTGTTAAGGGGAGGACCAGCAAATGCCTCAGCAGCTAAGAGTGCTTGTCCCACAAATCTGATGACTGCAGTTCCAAAGTCAGAGCTTAAAGAGCAAACTGACTCCATCAAGTTCTCTGCTCTCCCCACGCATGCAGTGGCGCTCTGGCCCCACACTCACCATATGCTCATACACACATTACTAATGAGTAAATATTTAGCGGAAATCTCGAGAGGAATATTTTTGAAAACATGTGAAATAAACCAGCTTTGCTTAGTCTGTACAAGACTTGATTGATTCTTCTGATAATCAAATTGCATCAGTAACTTATTTATGCTAATAGTCATGCTATCTCTCCTGGCTTGGTTCTGAGAGAAATCTCATGAGATTGGCTAGAAAGGGACAAGTTCACTAAACGAGTAGCCTCAATTACATGTGTGGCAGAAAGGGAGGTTTTCAAGTTACAGAAACCTGAGCTTCCAATGACAATCTTGATGTCAGTTTTCCTGAGAACAACTTCATTCCAATTTTCATTCTGTGAGAAATCAGTGTGACTTAGCTACAGACTTGTGTGGGTTCTGGTTTGCCATGCTGTCTGTTGAGCACTCTCTCGGAGAACTGTAAAGAAAGCTACCCCATTAGAGTATGTTTGTGTGCCTGTGTGTATACCATTCATGTGTATGTGCACACTCACGCCTGCCTGTGCACACCATACCTCGACTTTAATTTCTGCTGGCTTTTCATGTTTCCTTCTTACCCCAATATGGCCAAGCTGCGCAACCATCATCTACCCACCCTCCACTAATGAACAGATCTGCTTGTTGCTAACAACACTGCGACAGAGCTGTCATTCAAGAAGGACTACTCTGCGGGGCTGCGCTGTCCTAGGGTGCCACTTTCCTGGTTGTCACTCATTGGGGAAGCACCTGCTCTTCTATGTGGCTGTCACGAGGCAAGGGCATGCATCAGAATCCTGCTTGTCCCCCTCCTGCCCCCTGCCATCCACAAATTGAGATGTCTGAGTGCCATCCACGGAGTCTGCAGAATTGAGACGCTAACGTCACAGCAGAGAACTGCTGAGAAGGCACACAGAGCTCTGAGGCAGGAACGTCTCAGACCCTGGTTCATGTGTGTCACTTGTCGAGAGAGAGAGACTGACATGGGCAGTCTGGGCTGGGGCCTGAGAGGCCACCTCTCCAACAAGTTCCCAACTGATGCCTAGGCACTTGGTCAAGAGCACATTGAGAGAAGGAAGGTTCCGCATGGTCCTGCTTTGGGAAGCACTTCTTTCCAGATTCCGCTTGGAGTTCTGAGACCTGCAATCAGATATATTGTGAGCCTTATGCATATTCACAAGGGAAACTGCATTTATCCCACCGATTAAAGGCCTCATTTTCATAAAATGATAGCAACACAAGAGCGGGGGAAGTACCTTTATGAATTTTAAATCCCAGGATGATTGTGGACGACACGCTCTTGGCTTATACTGTGCCTTCAAGTACCCGGCTAACTTTCCTCGAATGATCTCCACTTTCCTTAACCTTGTTTTAGGAATGCAGCTTATTTTTAAGGAGATTCGTGGTTTAAGCAAGCTGGAGCTAGCAATGTGGGGCAGATGGCCGAAGGAACATCACCACAAAACTTGCCACTTGAGTGGGAGAGAGGACGGCAGCAGCCAGGATGGAGGCTTTGTTCCCTTTGCTAATGAAGTGTCCTCATTGCCCTGGGTGTCTGAATAGTTAATTACTTGCAGTTCCTGCAGCTGACAGATGGTGGGGACCGCGCTAAAGGCTAACCTCTGGATATCGGGGCTGCGGATGAAGGGAGGAAAAGCGCCTCAGAACCTCTTTTCCTGGGTTCCTGCTTGCCCTCACAGAGCCTCAGAAAACATATTAGCTTTCATCTCCACCTGATTGTTCAAATAGTTCTCAGATGACGAATGATAACAGGTACCCGTGTAATCCTCTATGGATGGCCGTGAACTGCCAGGTGTCAGATACAAGCATAAACAGACTCAAGTCTGTGATGTGTTTTTATATATATATATTTAAAAAGTCCTCTTAGACCATAAATACATTCTGTAATAGTCTCAACTTCAACGATGGGAGACAAAGAAATACCGAGTCTCCCTTTAGTTTACCGAGAAAACCATGCTGTTTCTTAACTGCTCATCAGACCAGTTAGTGCTCCTTTAGTTCTGCTTGTTAAAGTCCGAGCACTATGGTTGCCTGGTTAGGAGGGTGAAGAGTTCAAGACCAAGGGCTTGAGAGGTGCCTCAGTGCTTCACAGCACGGGTTACTGTTCCAGAGGACCCAGGTTCAAGTCCCTGCACACACATGGCAGCTCACAACCATCTGTAACTCCAGTTCCAGGGGTCTCACATCCTCTTCTGACTTCCAATAGCACCAGGGGTACGTACACGTGGTGCACACATATGTGCAGGCAAAATACTCATACACGTAAGTGAGTGAGTGAATCTCACAGGGATAGCGAGGCTGGGCTATATAATGTTAGCCTGTCTCAATGACAAGAAATAAAATTAGAAATTAATTATGCTGGGATAACTTAAGTAGAATGAAGAGCCAAAAGCCCAAGATTTGTACCCAAGCTTAGTATAAAACTCAACAACATATTCAAATGATATTAAATCCAATATATATGATTATAATCCCATCCGTAAGCCACTAATTTTAAAGGGTTTTATTAATATACTACAAAAAATTCAATACTTGTTTTTCTTTTAAAACATTATGATCACAGAGAGAAACATTTTAATAATTTACTCTCTGGTCTCTCAAAAGCTAAGTCAGGGTACAGTTCAGAAGGAAATCGGTGTATTGGAAAGATCACTTTGTTTTTGAGTGTCTGTTTATTCTTATTTATTTGCAATCATGGAATTACTGTAAAAGGAACAACTCATAATTCAGCTAAGATTACTTTGAAGTTCAAAAGTTATTTTCAAGTCCATGGGAATTTCAAAGCAAGACATGTAGGATTGTTTTCCTATTTTAGCATAATAATACAACCCTTATTTTGAAATTGCATGATCTGTGATGGAGTATAAAATTCTGCACCAGCCTCCCTGGTCCATGACATCTTAATTTTTTTAAGTGTGTCCATAAAATGTAGACAACCATAGGCGAGTATATTCAGATGTTTTCAATAGCTTTGAAACAGACAAGAGGAAGAAGAAAAAAAAAGAGTAGCCTTCCCAAATAAACTTCTATGGCATAGGAAAAAGCCTCCCTCATAATGGACATGGCAAGATTTAAACAAAAGACACACATAATAAAAATGTAAATGAGTTTGCTTTACTAAAACTATAACTTTAAAGTCTTTTGTTGTAAGTTATCCTGAAACCTTCTTACAAGGTAATCACTTTGCATAGAGATTTAAACCCTAGCCTTCAATAGCGTTGACTGCCTGCACAGCCCCCGTGACAGGCATGCAAAGCCACGTTAATGTTCAGAATATGAATTGCCTCTGGGTGGCTCCTCCACCCAGCAGAAGACCAACTGTGTGGATATCTGCGCGCCTGATGGGCTCCATGCGGCTCCCAGCCTGCACACGTCACCCCTTTGACATGTGATGGGCTCCTCACGACACTGGCAGCGCCGACACTGGGAAATGCCACAAAGGCAACAAGCCCCCTCCTTAGCCTTGCACTTTGCCACCCCCTGGCGCTGCCCATCCATGGTCTCCCCAGCCTGCCTAGTTACAGGGGATAGCGTTTCAGATACTCAGAAGTGTGGGTGGAGGGGCCCCAGCTGCCTCCCTGGACACAGCCTCCATAATGAATTGACCTGAATGAGGAGGGCACACAAACAGTATGATATGCATTATTCCTGTCAATAAAATGTCCCCATGTGCTGGGGTCTTTGTACAGAATGTACTGAGGCCTTTCTTCCAGCCAGTCCTATTTAGTCCCCTTCCTTTTTGCTATTCATATTATAAGTGTGTAATAGAATTCAGAAAATTATATGATAGCGCCTCTGTATCTGCATTGTCCTGGAGTTGCATGTGGAATTCCCTGTCTTCGCAGGAAACTTTTGCCGGGGAGACCGGCTCTCCGAAGACATTCTCAGAAAAGGAAATGATGGAATACAAGATGGAGAATGAGAGGCTGCAGCAAGTGATCGCAGTCTTGGAAGAGGAAGCACAAATGAACCTGAAAGAAAATTCAATGTTAGGTAACGCTGCTAACCCTTTCCTTGTGAACATAAAAGAAAACGTGATCTTAGCTAATGCTCCTAACTCCTTCCTTGTGAAGAGTGGGACGTGTCCTAAAATCCAGTACTCTTTGGCTTTTCCTCCTGTATGTGTTTAGTTATTTACACCTAAAAGAAATCAGTTTGATAGGTGTCTTTGTGTTTCTTTTAAGATAGCTTTTCTTGCTTAGAACATAGGATTTATCTGTATTTGTGCTACCGAGCTATGCCAGGTGAACTCAGAGTGTTTGTTTCTAAAAAAAACAAAACAAAACAAACAAAAATACACTTTAGTCTTAGCAAAAAAAGGGGGGGCTAATCAGTTGATTCTACTTCACTTAGAAGTGCTGTCGACAGACACATGTGCTGATTTTCTTAAACTATAACAGACATACGGGAACATGACGGGATATGCTTGTGGAAAAGCAGGCGTAGCCTTTCAGAACAAAATGCTGAGACTCACTCGCACTCAATTTTGATCCAAATTTTAAATGCAAATTTTCCTTTTGACACTTTAGGTCCCATTTTGTTCGGACCATAAACGTTGATAAAAATTGCGTTTATCACCAGAAGCACACTGCTTTCAAGCGCCTTTAAATGTTAACTGTTGCTGCTGTATTGGTGTGTTTAGTATGACACTCCGGTAATCTACAGTATGAAAGCAGAGCAAAGATTAAGAATGTGGGTGTGAGCATTGGTGAAATGAGTTGTAGTGTAGTGTCCTTTTACTACAGGATGACGCCATGCCGCTGTGACTCCATTTCTCTTCTGATGCGGCATGACAATGCTTTCCCAGGTTGGGGTCTTTCTTGGCAAATCATAAAGTGCCACCTGCTAAAGCACTTTGTATTGGCTGTAACTAACAGCAAAAAAATGCCTACTGCTACTATTGATGAAAAGCATCTAGCCCTCATCCACACTGGGATCTTGAACTTACTTCTTACTCCCTATCCAACCGGCCAACCTAACAGCAGGAAGAAGGCTGTGAATGTCAAGGGCATTTGTGAAGGTCACAATCCTGCTAGGACTTGTGAACACCATGCCTGCCTCTGCCTCTACAGCCTGCCCCAAAGCACGCAGTTTGAATACAGGGGCATACGTGTGTAATTTCATGGTCGGCCTCTTTCTCCTTTTGTTTACAGAGGATGAAATTATGTATCTGAAAGAGATGGCAGACCAGGATCAGCGAAATATTCAAAAGGTACGAACATCTTTTACATTGCTAAATGACTCTTTTTAAATTGAAATATCAGCACCATTGGGGAAATGGCATCATGTCCAGGGTGTCTTCAAATATGGAGAAAGTTGGCTTATACATTTACTCATTATGTCATTTTAGCAACAGATTTCCTTCTTATCTGGAAAAAAGTAGCTAGTAATAAACAAGAATTCTGACCGAAAAACCCACTGGATTATTGATAATCACTTATTTAACGGAGATCTATCAGCATATATATCTTGTCAGTTGTAAGGAACTGACAAGTTATATATCGTTGAGAGTTTCCAACCTTTGCTTGTAAGCATCTGTTACTAAGAATGAGACCACACTGCCACATGCTGTTTGCAGGCTGGACGTTGGTTGACACCCTTTTTTCTGACTGAGAATGAATTGGCTTATTATGCTAGGTCAGTCTTTATTTAAAGCAAGAAAAGTTTCAGTATCATGAAAATCAAGAATCCCAGGTGCATCCGATGCATGGGACAAAACAGTATCCCCGCCCACAGCCCTGCTGGTGAGCCACCTGCTTCAAGTCTTCTGAGTAATACTCCTCCCATGTGCAGTCAGTCAGTCTCCCCTGGACTGTGATCCTCAGTGCAGACAGCACACTATCTCATCTGTGCAGACGACCATGCCTGGAACCCTGAAATACACCCCTCCCTGTAGGGATGCATAGAATAAAGATGCATTTAGAGTTTATAAAATTTACAGATGAAAAGACAGACCCACATCCCTAAACTAGTCCAAGAAATGTATGTATTTTCCAGTAACTCGACCAACTATGAATTTTTAAGTTAAATTAAGCAAAATTAAAAGCATGGATCTTGGAGTTGGAGAGAAGGCTCAGTGGTTAAGGGCACTGGCTGCACTTCCAGAGACCTGGGTTCTGTTCCCAGGACCCACCCAACCAGCTATAACTTCAGTTGCAGAGGATCTGATGGCCTCTACGTACAGGGCATGCACTTGGTATACAGACATACATGCAAGCAACACAACCATACATATAAAAATAAATATTAAAAAAGAGAGAATATAAATATATATATATTTATACACACACATACACACATATCTATGTACACACACACACACACACACACACACACACACACACACACACACACAACTTCCTTCTTCAAATACACAAGTCACATTTCAAAGCATGGTGGTCACATAGACCCAAGTAATTTAGGGTCAGATTTCAACCAGGTCTGACTTTGCAGCACAGGATATTCACGGAGTTTAGATAAAAACTAGTTTCGAGATCTGTAGTTAACACTGATAGGTCAGAGTCGGGCCATGTTTTCCTCTGCTGGGTAGATTTCCATGCAATGATTTCATTTTCTTGGCCTTCACCTGGTCTCCTACAGCAGCCTGTAAACCCCACTATTACAAAGTAGCAATGGCATCTGTGGACGACAGTCCAAGTTTCTCAGGATGGGCTTCATTGGAGTAAAAATGAAGTATCTGTACTCTGGTTTCACTTTGCCTACAAGGGAAGCACACTATTCATTTAAAAAGCCCCCAGGCCACTCGTCCTCACTACCTCTGGTGAGAATGAGTTACAGAGGCTTCCTAGTCTATATGGGATACAATATGTGGTTAGAGCCAAAAGTGTCCCTGCAGTCCTCAAGGATGCACACTATGCCCTGTGCGAGCTGAAATCACTCAGTCACAGGCTGCCTCAGAGTCTCGATTTGCGCTGCCTAGGGCTACCTCCTGGCCACATGAGACCACTGGACATTTCTTTCTGAACAGTTTTAAATTTAAATGGAAAAAACCCAATGCTTGTTTCAATGAATGGAAAAAACCTTCATGTTTTCAATAATTTAGATAATGAATCTGCCTTCTTATTTGAAAGTTTTCTGAAATCTATATAGATAAGAATTTAGCTCTCCAATTTATACTATAATTGAAAAAGATATATATACATGTATTTTTTAATTATATAAAATAAGAGATAGTTCCCTTAGAATTCTAATATTTATTAGTATTTGGATTGTATATGTAAGGATAAATAAAAATATAGTTTTAATATCATGGTTTACTTTTTAACAAAGCTACTATAAAATTTTGAATTTATGTATTTTTGTTTGCCAGCTCTATTTTGGATAGCTATAGGACAGTGGTTCTCAACCTTCCTAATGCTGCAACCCTTTCATACAGTTCCTCATATTGTGGTGACCCCTAACCATAAAATTACTTTTATTGCTACTTCATAACTGTAATCTTGGACTGTTATGAATTACAATGTAAACATTTGATGTGCAGGATCTCTGATCCACAGCCCCCTATGAAAGGGTCATTTGGCCTTTCAATATGATCTGCTATAGTACAGTAGATCTCTTTCAGCTCAGTCATCCTCTGGCAGTCCTGTGTTTCTCTTTTGCTTTTCCTTCCAATCACTGGAACTTAATACAGACACAAAACGTAGACTCGCTTATTGAGAAGAAAGAATCCAGATCCCTGGGTTCCTGTTTGGTTTCTGACTTGTCTCTGTGAGCTAGTTCCTGTCCCCCGACTTCTTCCTTCTCCCAGGCTTACTATGTATGTACGAGAGATAAGAATGGAGGTGGGCCGGGCGGTGGTGGCGCACGCCTTTAATCCCAGCACTCGGGAGGCAGAGCCAGGCGGATCTCTGTGAGTTCGAGGCCAGCCTGGGCTACCAAGTGAGTTCCAGGACAGGCGCAAAGCTACACAGAGAAACCCTGTCTCGAAAAACCAAAAAAAAAAAAAAAAAAAAAAAAAAAAGAATGGAGGTGGAAGTGATTTGTCAGCTGGAAGCAGGTCAGACCTTGTTGAACAAGAAAGAACAGCTCTTTGAAGTTTGTTCCCAATACCTTTCAGTAAATTAATTCAATGGTGTTTATTGGGTATTTTTGAATGTCACACACTCCACTACTGCTAGAAAAATTTTAAATGTGTGGGTGATCCATGGAGAGGAGAAGCTATCTCCATCTGGAGGGTTCTAGAAAACCTTCACAGACATTCCCATGCTCTTTCTCTTGGGGTCCTCTTGGGAGGGCTGCCTGAGCTGTTATTTCCCAGAGGACAAGAGGGCACAGAAGCTGGCGGCCAGGTGTGTTGCTGAGTGGTGTGCAGTGTATTCCAGGACTTTCTGAAATGTAACAAGGCTGGCTTATGGAACAGGGACCCGTTGAGATACCAAAGTGAGAATCCACTGTGCAGCACAAAGAGGAACCTAGAGCATGGGGAAGAGGCAGACAGAACAAGAACCAGTGGAAAAAGCAATCTGAAATGCTTCAGCTAAGGCACAAGTTCCCTTCTTTAATTGGTAGATGCAATTGAAAAAAAGTTGAAAATGGGTCTGAGTTTGGGTACGCCGACTTCATCTTCTGCCCAGGATAAGCGCCCTATAGTATGGAATTCAGTAGCCTCTGTGTTTTAATTCAAGTGATCCAACAACAGAGTCTCGAAGCCTGTTCTCCATCCGATGCCACCTCACAGTCCCTGCTTGAAACTTAATTCTAGTAGGCGGCACACCAGGGGGCAGAGGCGACAGTCCGAACGTGATGCCCAGCAAGCTGGGGAAGTGGAAGCAAGCGTGCCGAGCTTAGGTGGTAGGAGATCAAAGCTGGCTGAAGGCAAGGCATTGAGCTGCCTCCCGGAAGCCAGACAGGAAAAATGAGAGTCCAGAAGGGACTCCTAAGGACGATCAGAAGCCATTTCTTAAGGGTTAAGTTGTGTGGTTTCACTTGGGCTGTACACAAGAGGAAGGGTGGTAAAGGTCAGGCACACAGGAAAGGGTCACTCATGCCAAGGGGTTGGATGCCTTCTGAGTCCCTGGAGAAATGGACAGTGTGCTAGTCTCAGACTTGTGTTTCATCAAGATGAATAGGGAGCGGGGAGAGGGGATCTGAGCCAAGGTGACAAGTCAATACTTGGATAAACAGAAGACAAGATAGAGTCTTGAAGAGTGACTCTAGAGACAGCTATCAGATTAGTAAACATAATTAATTGATTGAGTTTAACAAAGGTCTAAATTAAGGTTTGAATTTTACCTATATAAACAGAGATTGTTTGAAACCACCACCACCCCCCCCAAAAAACCAGAAAACAAAAGCTACATGAGGACAGAGGTAAAATGTGTGATTTTAAGAAGTATTTTCAGCCAATATGAATATAGTTAGATATGCAAATAAATATAACACAAAAATATGAAGCAAGAGAATGTGCCATACAAAAAGTTTAGCAAAGTTGTTATGGGGGATAGATTGATTCACTGCATTATATGATGATGTCATATCTGAGGGTAACCAGGAAAGTTGTAAGTACATTAGCATTGTTTTTGTATATTAGCTTGGCTATATAATAATATTATCAGAACATAATAATCTGAAGGAAATTAATTTTTCCTTTGATCACATTGGAATCCATTTTTCTCCCATATTAAAATGTGTTTTTAGCACATTCTATTGAGGAAAACATTTTAGGTGTTGTGTTCTTATCTTTAATCAAAATGCCTCATTTCTCTCTATTACAGTTAATGGACAGTAGAGACAGATTGAGATATGAGCTGGATTGCGAAAAACTTGCCATGCAAGATTTGGTAAGATGATTTATATCCCCCCTAAGGAATCTGAATTTGAGACTTTAATAACCTGAATGTGTTAGGTGCTTCACTTGCAACTTTGCTGTGAACAATTTGTTTCTCCTTCATCAAAATCCTAAGTGTACAGATAACTGTAGAGACTTTTAAGTAGGCGTTTGAAGGAAAAATTTGAATGATGGTATGTTAAGCTGGAAGTAAACTCTGGGTAAGAAACAGTATGACCACTTAAAACAGTGTATAAAGTATTTTCATTTTATTCTGGAAATCTGAAAGCAAAATGAAGTCTGAGAGCCCAGGATTTTGAAGGATTTGCTATTTTTAGTTACAAATTGCACTAAGTGACAACCAGAAAGGAGCCCAGCTCGATAGTTTGGCATTCTGCGGTGGTCTCATAAGACAACACTGCCTTTTCAAGTTCTTTAAAGGGAACTTTCCAGACGGCTGGTCTTTTATCAGTTGACTCCCCACCCCCAGGCCCTCGCCACCAGCCCCTGGTGAAGTACTGGCTGTCAGCTGATCGCCACTAGCATGTCTTTGTTACAGTAAACTGTGTTTATTATAATAAAACATAAAACACAGCTTGACTTGGGTCTCCAATGTGCTTGGAAAGAATATGACTCTGTCTGCAGGAGAAAAGGTTGCTCCAGGAAAGCCACACCACTTCAGATAGTGAAACATTTGCTTTTTCAAAGCTTGTCACACTTGTGCCAAGTTGTGACTGTCTCCCAACTCTGTTTTGTTACTCCCGGGCACCCTGTGTTTTGGGTTCCTTGTCATAGAAATTAATGCAAAACAATGGTCCTGGATTACAATGAAGCCTTCTATGAAACCAACTTGGGAATGCAGGCGAGGGGGGAAAAATTAAGACCCACTTTTCACAAACACCACGTGTTAGCAAATGTGTTGCTTGGTCCTTTAATTTTAAATACCTGCATATAAAAAGCCTCCCTCCTTGGAGTCCACTTGGTAGATTTCTGGTATTCCCACAGCCTGTCTTCTCTGCTCTTCTAGCGAAGTCCAGTCTCTGTCTCCAAAAGTTAAATATACACATAGTGACTAAAGGGGAGTGTTTTTATTGGGTGGGAAGTAACTGTGACATTGTTAGTTTGTCAGCCACAGTGGAGAAGAACCGCAGCCCTCCAGCAGTGAATTTGTGCCTGTATTGGGAGTAGACCCCATGCCCCTTTCCTTTTTAAAAACTGTAAGTGTTCAACGGGTGCTATTGTATCACCCACAGGGGAACCAATCCCATTTTATTTTGTTATTTAGGAGTTTGTTGAGCCCCAAGCTTGTTGCCAAGCAGCAAGAGCCTGCCTAGAAAAAAAAAGGACAATACTAGAGTTTTTAGTATGCTTAGAACTAGTTTGGGGGGTTCCAGTTTTCAGTAGGGGCGTGAGCTGAAGTCTGTCCTCCGGACCAAGGTTGCCATGTTGGACTTGCTTCCCTCCATCTCCGCTAGGCACTGATGCTGCATTAGAGGGAGGTGACTTTGGGGTTCTTGGGCACTGTTGTTTCATGCTATTTTGTTAGTCCATACAGAGTGTAAGAGTGTGTTGAAAAGGAGTGGAGGAAAGAGGAACTGGCCGTTATTTTATAAACATTGAATTTCTCACAGAAGGTCTTCTGTTCTTTGGTTTTCTGTGACTGTTTCCCAAAATATTTTTCTGGCCTATTAAAAGTCTCATGTGAAAAGTCAATGAGTATTTAAAAAAAAAAAAAAAAAACACCACCACAATAAGCACAGGCAGGCAATCACATGTGATATGTTAGAATTGTCATGAGACCAATATTTGAGAACTCGAACTCGAAGGAGAAAAGACTCATTTTGGCCCACAGTTTCCAAGGTTCCAGACTATGGCCCTCTAGGTTCATTGTTTCTAAACCTGTGATGAGGTAGAACATCTGGGGGCAGAAATGGTGGTGCTTAAGATGTCAGGAAGAGGCCAACAGGGGGACCCAGGACAAGATAGAGTCCCTGAGGGCATGCTTCATATTTTCTCTAGCTAAAGTGTCACCTTGAAGTTTCAACTACCTCCTAATAATGCTGGTTACTTATTAATCCCTTAGTATACAAATCCATTGATTAGGTCAGAGTACTCATGACCCAATAGCTTCTCCATGATTGGGTCCATTTTCTACAGACCTAGCCTTTAACACACAAGTTTTTTGGAGGGGGGGGGGAGCAGTTTCATATCCCTGCAGTAACATATGGAGAAATTGTATCCCTAGAAGAGGCTTGGGAAAAACTCAAGAAATAGTTCTGCACCTTCCTGCAGCTCCTAAGTGAATGCTTTTCATTTGTCTTAAAGTGCACAAAGGAGAGGGTTCCCCATCAGAAAAGAACTTGATTGAGCTCCTTCCCTGACCTGCTATCCACATGCTTCATCTCTCTCTGCTTTCTCGGTGCTGCCTAGAGTCACGACAGATGGGAAGTAAAGCTTGTGCTCTAGTACTATTCTGGGGGCACAGCACCAGCAGACTCCTGAGGTCCGCTTGCTTCTGGAACTGGGCTCCAGGTGTCCAAATTGCTTTTCATGCATGCTTCGAGTCACCCCAGTCCTATTGTGTGTGATATGGCAGTGTTTGGCCAACGAGATGGGAAATGGATGTTTCCTGTGATCTGAGCAAAAACCTCAGTGATCCCAAAATTCTGGGAAGACTAGCACCCCATGAGCAGGGGTGGTGAGTGACTGGTCACTGTATGCCGGGCTGCCAAAGGAGTTCTGCTCTCACGTTCTCACTGCCCACTTGTCAATCCCGTGTGTCCCCTGCAATCCTAGACGGCTGAAAGTCCTGCTCCCCCTGTACCTTCTAATTATACAGTCAAAAGGGCAGAAAACAAAGCCGATGACAGGAAGAACTCCCTCCATCAATTGGTGTTCACCTACCCTCTAAAAATCTGCACTGTACACTCAGGAGTGCTATGAGAGATTTAAGGTAATTAGCACTGTATTGTCACGAAAATAATTTATGATTTACAGAATTCCAAATGGCTTCAGGGACTCCGAGGATCCTTGGACCATACTTTGATATCTGCTATACTATTTAATAATAAGTTGAAAATATGCCTAGCCAGTTGTAAAGGAAATGTCTGCTCTTTTATGCTTTTGATCCTCTTCTTTTCCCAATTAATTAATAACTAGTAACCTTTCACTAATAACTTTTCCTCGGCACACTGTTGTTAGAATGTTACATTAGTACATCTCTCTCTCTCTCTCTCTCTCTCTCTCTCTCTCTCTCTCTCTCTCTCTCTCTCTCTCCTTTTCATTATTCTTTATTATGTTTTTGAGGCAGGATCCTGCCATCTAGCTCAGTCAGGTCTAAAACTTGTGATCCTCCTGTCTCAGTCTCCCAAGTCAAAGGACCACAGTGTTCCACCATGCCCAGCTACATTACTATATCTCAATGGACTGTGCTATTAATGTTAGGCTCAGGCAGGAAGTTCCACACATGGGGCTAGAGAGAAGGCTCAGCAGGTAAAAGCACTTGTGCAAGCATGAAGGCCTGCACCCTACTGGTGACATCTCTTCTGCTCTCATTGGTGTCACCAGGAGGCCTATTCCATAACGATTCCCACAACAATGGATGCCATTTTTCCTAGAGTGAAGAGGCATCCTGACGGTTTCCACCTGATGGCCCTTGCTACCCTGAGCCTTTTTGTGCTTGTATCCTGGTACCATGTCCCTTGTATGAGTCTCCGCATTGTAATATAATGTTAATTCCTTGTTTGCTAAATAATTTTCAAAATTAACTCTACTGACATATAGTACTGAGATCACCATAGGAAAGTTCCATGGCCTCCAAATTTTGCAAAAAATTAGTAATTTTGAATTTTTTTGAAGATTTTCTTTTTAACCAGTCTGGTATGTATAATATTTAAGTTTATGATTTTAACCTGTTTCATTGACTGTTGGTGAAATCAAATGCCTCATGCTACATCTCATACCTGAACGCCCTCTTTTCACCCCTTCCTGTTAGTGTCTATTGAACAGTGTAAGATTACTTTGAGGAAGTTGGGTTTTGTTGTTGTCCCCTATGGTCAAGGTTCACTATTCTTCCTGTGAGTACCCAGTTTCCTCAGTACTATTTGTTGAAGACGCTATGTCTTCTTCAATGTGTACTTTGGCATCTTTGTCAAAAACTGTGGAGCTGTAGTTTCATGGACTTCAATCCTCTCTTCTACTCCATTGGTTTATATGTCCACTTTATGCCAGTACCATGCTATTTGTCTCACAATAGCTTTCTAGTATAACTTGAAATCAGATATGGTGTTATCTCTAGCATTATTCTTTTACTCAGAATTGTTTTTTACTATCTACAGACATTTGTGCTTCCATGTGAATTTTTTAATTTGGCTTTTGGTTTTTGTTTTGTTTTTTGAGGCAAGGTTTCCCAATGTAACAGTCCTGGCTATTCTGGAACTCACTCTGTAGACCAGGCTGGCCTCGAACTCAGAGATCTGCTTGCCTCTGCCTCCTGAGTGCTAGGACTAAAGGTGTGTGCCACCACTGCCCGGCTTCCATATGAATTTTAATATTGGGGTTTTTTTTGTCTATTTTTGTGAAGAATAGAGCTAGAATTTTGATGTATATTACAATAATTCTGTAGCTTGCTCTTGGTAGGATGGCCATTTTCACAATGTTAACCCTACCAATCTGGGATAACAGGAAGCCTCTCTATTTCCTATTGTCTTCCCCAATTTCATTTCAAAGTTTTCATTGTAGAAGTCTCTCACTTCTTGGTTCATTTTATTCCAAGGTATTGGGGGAGATGGTGCCATTGTGAATGGGATTGTTTCTTTGATTTCTTTCTCAGGATGTTTGCCATTGACATATAGGATGGCTATTGATTTCTATTATGTTAATTTTGTATCCTGCCACATAGTGGCTGATCCCATTCTAACTTTGATGAGAGTCATAAACTGGTTTAAGAAACCAAGAAAACTCAAAGTAGAATATATATTAAAAAATCCACTGTGGGTCACATTATAATTAAAT